GGGCTGGATTCCCCTCTCCGATCTGCCAGCGCTGACTGGCGGAACGGACAGGGGAGGGGGCGGGTACAGCTGGCTCTGCCTCTAGATAGGCAGAGCCAGCTGTCACTCACGCAGCTGAGCAGATCCAGTCATCTAAGTCGTGATCCGCTCTGGCTGCGGCGTCTCAGTATACCGCGAGCTGTAGCTCGCGGTATACTGAGCTTAGGGTAACGGGAGGACGCTAGTTTGTGTCCTCCCGTTACCCTAAGGAGAACTATGGGGAAAAACACTGACCCCATAGTTCTCCTTTAAATCTTAAAACTACATTCAAGTACCTTAACTATTAACAAAAATGTATCTTATTTGTGTATCACTGGGCTGTAGATCCTCAAATCATCTCTGAATTGGTGCCGACACTGTCCTTCCTTCTGGAGGGTGGCTACTTTTGTTCCCCATGGACCTTGTGTGTGGTGCAATGTAGCCACAGCTCCAAGCTCACTCCTGTGATGGACTAACATCTCATGTTTAGTTTACTAATTTGTATTGAGATTGTAGTCCATCCCGGGAGTGAGCTTTGGAGTGGTGGCTATTATACAACACACACAGGGACCATAGGGAACAAAAGTGGCCACCCTCCAGAAGGAAGGACAGTGTCAGCACCAATTCAGAGATGATTTGAGGATCTACAGCCGAGTGATACACAAATACGATACACTTTTGTTAATAATTCAGGTACCTAAATGCATTTTTAAGATTTAACTCCTGAGTTTAGTGTCACTAACAAGACAAACCTGCCATTACATCAGTTTTCAGGTACTTTAAACAGTACATGAATTCTTCGAATTTACCTGTATATAGCTCCTCTATATCCTAGATATCCTGACCTGTACAAGAGTTTGCCTGCTACTGTGTACATGAACACTGTTCAGCTTGTAGACAAGATTTGTTATAAAATCTGGAATAGTTTTCAATCCTGGTCATATCCCCTGATCTCCTCTTACCTGCTATGATGGTGGTGGCCTGTCTGCGCACATTGTTCTTGTCTGTGTACTCTCCATAATCGATCTTGCCTTCTACGAACACCCGAGCCCTTGTAGGAAAGAGCAAAGTATTAGATCAACAGGAATGGGTATCTTATTTTAACACCATTTCAGCTATTACAGGGTGATCACATGGCTTTGTTTGTAGACAGCTGTCACTGACATTTGCTGGATTGTTAAAAGAAAATAGCTTTCTTAAAGTGTCCAAACTCAAGAACAAAAATGGAACATACTGTGACCTAAGAGTAGGGATGCACATATATATTGGCAGCCGAAACATATTGGCCGAAAATGACACTTTGGCCTTCCACTACACAGGCCTACCACTTCAGACTATCAAGAATGTTGCTGCTAGACTCATCCACCTGACCAACCGCTCAGTGTCTGCAACCCCCCTCTGCCAATCCCTGCACTGACTTCCACTCGCCCAAAAGGATAAAATCCTAAATATTAACAATCCCTTATAAAGCCATCCACAACTCTGCCCCTGTATACATCTCAAACCTTGTTTCAAAATATCACCCTAACCGTCCCCTCCACTCCTTTCAAGACCTCCGGCTTTCCAGCTCCCTTGTCATCTCTTGCCATACTCACCTCCAGGACTTCTCTAGAGTCCCTCCCATCCTCTGGAACCCTTTACCCCAACCTGTCCGTCTGTCGCCCACCTTGACTGCCTTTAGGCGATCCCTAAAGACTCATCTCTTCAGGGAAGCCTATCCCATCTCAACCTAATCACTAAACTATCACATTCTCAAACAATTCATCCCCACACAGCTCCCTCCTCATGTATCACTTCCCCTCTCTCTTAGATTGTAAGCCCTCACGGGCAGGGCCCTCCTTACCATCTTGTCTTGAATTGTATTGTGATTGTAATGTCTTCCTTATAAAGCGCTGAACAAGCTGTTGGCGCTATATAAATCCTGTATAATAATAATAACAACAACGTGTCCTATAGAAAATACCCAATTCCAACACAGACTCTTACCCTTTCTTGATGTACTGGTAAGCTACATCCCGAAGGCCAGGCCGAAAGACAGATATTCTGTGCCATGTTGTCTTCTGGTTGATGTCTCCACCTGCTGAGAAGAAAGGCTGCAATCATTAAATATGTACTTAAAACAAATCTGCCCGAAGTATAAGACGTATCCATTGAAAGGACTTCCAAACACTGGAAAACGTCTCTGGTTTTCAGGTGCAAGTCGTCCCTCAATAAACATTTTCATGAAGTCACCTAAGGAATGAATTTCTTCCTTTCTGGCTTGTGACTTGCTGCTGCAGCTTGCACAGCGGACTGCTCAGCCAATTGCGGATTGGAGTACCACTAACTTCCCCTTAAAAACTGGTTTACAAGATATTACTTAAACCTGTTTTTATGATGCAACCTATCTAACAGAAGATCATTTTTAAAATGGGTGAATAAATTATTTGTGACTGACTGTTACAGCCTGCACAGAAACAAGGCAACCAGTCGTAAAAAAAAATTTCACCACCCTGGTGAACTATGAATCAAGCACAGCGTAAGTTCTGTACATATGCGAGGCTGGGTGTTTACAGCCCCCTGCTAGGCAGAAGGATGCATGAAAAAGGGTCTAGCTGTGTTCTATAGTTAGCTAGAATCTAACAGGTTCTCTGTAAAGCAAAGGACAAGTTTAGGATGAATCTATGCATCAAACAGAAGGGTACTCACTTGCATTAAACACCTCGCCCTCGCCTGTCCGCCACATCTCGTTAGTAGCCACAGAGAAGATGGTGACAGCGTTCTTGGTGTCAGTCTGCCTCATTACTGGGTCCTGCCCAACACGACCTAAAATCTGCACTTTGTTTAGGGCTGAAACACAACAACAAAAGAGAACCATTAAAAGCCAGCTACCTGGGACACATCCAGGCTACCTAGTAACAGCCAGGGGGGAGTGTCTGTACTGCCTACAGCAGCCAATCAGATTTAAGACTTAAAGAGGACCTCCGGGAACCTAAAAAGAAACCATTGCTAGCGGGCTAGCCCCCCACTGCAAGGGTTAACTGCTTGTTTTGATCTAGGGGCTCAAATTTAAAAAATAAAATAAAAAAAGTGTGTGTGTGTTTGGGCAAACTTCTTAGTTGTAACGCAACCGGAAGTCAGGCGGTCGCAGAACTCGATAAGGGTCGACAGATCACCAGCCCAAGTGGCTCCGTCGGCTAACGAAGGGGAGGAGTCGGGTGACGTCACCGGATCTCTGACGGAAGACCTGGAAGCCGGCGGAGAGGTGAGTGCTTTCATTATTGATCAAAATAATTTTAATAGATCAAAAAGTTTAACGATTAATCGGGTAATTAATCGTTAATTTCCGCAGCCCTAAATATATATATATATATATATGTGGCCATATTATTATGACCACCTGCAAATTAGCTATAATTTTACGCTGAAGTTGCTAGAGGGCCAGACCATTATAAATAGGGAAGCAGGTTGTTTACCACGACAGTAGAAGTGATTTTTTTTCTGAAGATTTGGGTAAACAAAGCGATATAACAGCCTTTGAACGTGGGATGATTGTTAGCGCTCGGAGCCATGGAGCGAGTATCAGCAAAACAGCAGAATTTGTTAAATGTTCAAGAGCAGCTGTTGTTAAAGTGTTTAAAGACTGGACTGTCAGCCGAAAATCTGGGTCTGAACGTGCGAATTGTGGCAGTCAGCGACTAGTCAATGTTAGGGCAGAACGGAGAGTGGCAAGACTGGTACAAGACAACAGAAGGGCAACAGTGCAGTGTCAGATTCCTTGCATCACCTTTCAACATCTCGTGGAGCCACGAGGCGACCCAACTAAGTCATCTCGTGGCCCAAAGAAGTACTGATGGGGTGGTCATAATAATCTGGCCACTCAGTGTGTGTATATATCTAGATATATACACACACCTCATCCTACCGGGCTGCAAGACTGGTCCTCACAACCTCTTTTTTTCCCGGCCTCCAGCAGTCTAAGCCCTACTGACGTCATCGTGTCTAATGCAGTCCATTCACTTGCATTAAACTTGAGGATGCCAAGAGACATACCAAAGCCAGAGCGAAGGTGGAGAGAGGTAAGCACTTGCCACCACAGGACCATAATACAGAACACATACTCACCTGATCCTCAGATCAGGTGAGTATGTGTTCTGTATTATGGCCCCTAGAGAAAAATGAGCAAGGGGTGCAGGGGTAGCCCCCCCCTGCACCCCTTGCTCATTTTTCTCTAGGGGCCATAATACAGAACAAAAGTTTAACTTTTTTTTAAACTGGAGTTCTTCTTTAAAGCTAATACAGGATTGGTTGCTTCATGCAACATATTTTATTTCATTAGAGCAGATAATATAAATGAGTTGCATGGTATTTTATTCATAGTTTTCAGCTGGTGTGTTCCCGTAAGACTCAATGTATGAATTCCATGGGGCTGCTGTCATCAACCATTGGCTTGGGAGCCACATGTGAATTTCCAATTGCAATGATACGCACCCAGTGGCATCTAGGAAGGTGCTCAGTACCAAGCTGATTCAACTCCTGATGTATTATTGTACGCTTCTAATAATCATGAAAGTAGACTAAATCTGCCTAATTGTTAAACATTTTACATTATTTTGGATGAAAAAACTTCTGCAACTTTTATTCCATATTTATTACGGTTATCCTTCACCTGCTGTTGGAATGGGGTTCATGAGCTGATTAAAGTGACACTAAACTCAGGAGTTAAATCATAAAAATACATTCAAGTATTCTAACTATTTACATAAATGCATCTTATTTGTGTATCACTCGGCTGTAGATCCTCCAATCATCTCTGAATTGGTGCTGACACTGTCCTTACTTCTGGAGGGGGGCTACTTTTGTTCCCCATGGTCCCGGTGTGTGTTGTAAAGCAGTCACCGCTCCAAGCTCCCTCCCGTTATGTACAAATCGATTTAAGTAGAGGACTCTTTCTCTTCTACTACTAAGCCCTTAGGCTTTGGTTAGGTCTAAAGCCCAACTCTAGGACAATTGTTTCTCTTTGTGATATGATCCCCAGCTGGGAACCCCCCCCAAACCCAGAGCTTTGTGAGTAACCAAATTCTGCAGAGACTGGAAGTAGAGGTTAGGACCATAAATTTTCCAAGATATCCATAAGAGGTCTCACCCCCCAATCCCACCTATCCAAGTCAGCCGGGGCTACTGTCCCCGGGGGGTAGAATCTGAGCTGAATAGCATGGGAGGCCCCTGCGACTGACACAAAGAACTGAAGCAACGAGT